CACTGAACAGTTGTCGTCTGGTCGTCATAATGAAGTCAATCTAATTTTTTGTCGAACCGTCAGGACTCGACCAGGTTCACTACCTGTGGAGCCGCTTCTGGAAGAAAGAGTTCATCATAAAGGGTCCTTCATTCTCCATGAAGTCGGTCGGCTGCTGGCCCCTTGGGTTCCGTTGCCCCATTCTAAATTTCACTACCTTAAGCTCACCGTTCTCTCTTGTGTCTAGTTTTGCGTTGAAATCTCCCATTAACACCGTATAGTGGGTTTTGGAGGAATGCATGGCTCTAGATATCCTCATACATTTCATCCACCTCCTCATTGGGATGTGCCGAGGTTGGTGCGTAAATCTGTATGACCTTCAGCGAATACCGTTTCGTGATTCTGAATATAACCCTCGTCGTCACACTCAATCTATACAACGTTGTTAACGAGAGACTTGCGGACGATAAGTCCGACACCTCCTTGGAAAAGGTGGTCGCCTTCCCTCCCGGTGCTAGAACAAGTTACGGATTAGCATGTCCTCCCCTTCTCTTCAGACCTAAGATAATCCTATAATATTCCAGCGCAATTTGTCCATCTCTTCTTCCAGCTCCAGGATCTTCTCGTCAGTCCTCAGGGTTGGTGCGTTATATATTGTCAGCTCGAATCGTCTTAGGTGGCAACCGAACTTTCACCGGAGATTCTTAGCGCCTCTTGCCCCACCGTTACCATGGTTGCCACCGTAGCCAGGAGTAGCGGGGCCGCCAGGTGCAAGGGGTCGTATCTTCGTTACTTTAATCATGGGGGTATTGCTATAGTTGCTACGTTTGGCGAGGCGGGTTGGCAACCGCATTTTTTTTATTGTTGCTTTGCTGTTATCAGAAAGATGCTGCTGCCCATTAAATGCCTCAGTAATTCCCCCTGTTGCCTCTTACGACATCCACGGGAAGATATGGGATAGTGGGTATTCTTACCCGCCACTACACAGGATAAATATAAGTTACAGATGAACCTTAGACTAACGAAATAAGGTTAAATATTACTTGCAATGTAGGCAATCTGATATTTTGTCCATGTTTAGTCAAGTTTCTATCCAAAAAATTAAAAAATTACACGTGCCTTAGATAGAAAACACCTCCATTCAAAATATTTTTCTTTTTACTTTCGTTTTTACAGTTCTGATATTTTTTTTATAGGAGAGTGGGCAAACGAGCATGCGGCTCACCTGATGGTAAGTGACTACCGCCGCCCATGAACAACTGCAACACCAGGGGAATCGCAGATGCGTTGCCGGCCTTTTAAAAAGCAGTAGGCTCTTTTCTTGAAGGTCCCTAAGTCGTATCGGTCCGGAAAAATCGCTGATGGTAATCGATTCCACAAGGAAGTCGTGCGAGAAAGAAAACATCTTCTAAATCGCACAGTGGTGGATCGCCAATCATCCAGATGGTGTGGATAGTATCGGGAGTTCTGCCGCGATGTGCGTTCGTGAAAGTTGGCGGCTGGGATTAATCCGAACAATTCCTCAGAGCACTCCCCGTGGTAAATTCGAAAGAAAATGCAAAGGGAAGCAACATCTCTTCGCAGTGCCAATGAATCGAGCCGATCGGAAAGGACTCGGTCGTCGACGATTCGAGCCGCTCTACGCTGGATGCGGTCAAGTGGAAGGAGCTGGCACTGGGGAGCTCCTGCCCAGAGATGGGAACAACCCTCCACCTCCCATGGCCCCACCGACCCTCAGGTCATACGGGCCGAATCTCGGGAGATGCGCGCGGTACTTGCTCGTGGCTCTTTTCCCGCGCGCACTTTCTTGACTCCCTACAAATATTTCATCTATTCCTTGTCCCAATTTTACGTCACTCTCCCCCTTCTGGGGCTGACGGCACTATAACGCCTACGACATCGGGCCCTCCTACCAGCATTCTCTCCTGCCCCATTCCACGATCGCGACACCCATGCGCAAAACTCGCGCAGCAGCCCGTAGTTCACCCCAGTGCCATTGAGTCAGATGATATTGCTAAGGTGACTCAGCACAGCTGCTCCAATTGTTGGGTCGGCAAGATAAGCGCCAGCCCACGGATGACCGCTCACCTGCACGGTCCCCGCAACCTGGGAGTACTGTTATTGTACAAGAACAATGTCCAGGTGCAGTTCACGCGCCTGATGGGCAACTCAGCCGTGGCAAGCTCCCCCCGACCCAGGGGATGGGAACAGTATTCCATGTGAGGCCGAACCTGCGCCTTGTAAAGTTACAGGCGGTGTGCCGGCATGAAATATTATCCCGCTCTGCTGAGCACGCCAAGCTTTTTAGAGGCCAATTTGGCCTTCTTTTCCAAGTTATCACGAAACTGCACGTCACTCGATATGTCGACTCCGAGGATTCCGATACTGGCTGAGGCGAGAAGGAGAGTGCCTTGAAACTGAGGAGATACGACAAAGGGGTTCTTTTTAGCGGTAAACGCGCAAACTTGTGTCTTCTGAGTATTAAACTGGACTAGATTTAGTCGCCCCCAATCCAAGACTTTGTTCAGCAAAGACTCGACTTCAAACACAAGTTTGTTCCGGTACTCGACGACGTTTTCCCGAGAAATATTGGCACGGCCGGTGTATAGAGCATCACCAGTGCTGCCATCCGCATAGCAATGAATGTTACCAGTTATGAACATATCATTGATATGCAGAAGAAACAGCGTTGGTGATAGCACACAGCCTTGTGGAACACCAGCGTTAATAGGCTTGTAGTCAGAGCATGCACCGTCTACAACGACCTTGATGCTCCGATCTGCAAGGAAGCTGGTGATCCAATTGCACAATTTCTCGGTAAGCCCATAGGAAGGGAGCTTCGAAAGAAGCGCCTTGTGCCAAACCCAATCGAAGGCCTTCGCGATGTCCAAACTAACGGCCAACGCCTCCCCCTTGGACTCTACTGCCTCCGCCCATCTATGGGTCAGGTAGACTAGAAGATCACCAGCTGATCGACCCCGACGAAAACCGTACTGGCAGTCACTGATGATTCTCATGGTACCTCATGAGCTGGCAGTTTATAATGGATTCCATTATTTTGGAGAACAAGGAGGTTATGGCGATAGGCCTGTAGTTGGACGGGTCTGAGCGGTCACCTTTTTTAGGGATCGGGTGGACCAAAGCTTCCATGAATTCGGGACTACGCCTTGGGAGTAGGAGTATCGGAAAAGACGCGTTAAAACCGGTGCCAACTCTGGAGCACACGTCTTCAGTACGATGGGAGGGACTCCATCAGGCCCACTAGACTTGCTATCGTCCAGGGAGAAGAGTGGTTTACAAACCGAACGCTGTGTAAATCGCACATCCGGTATGGAACACTCACACCGCGGGATGGTCGGCGGTATGTTCCCCCCATCGTCAAGAGGCAAGTTGGACGCAAAAAGGGAGCCTAAAAGGTCGGCTTTCTCTTTTGCGGCGTGGGCCAGTGAGTCTTCCTCCCTGTGCAGAGATGGTAGTGAAGGCTTACAGAAATTCCCTTGGACAGCCTTGGTGAGAGACCAGAATGCACGGGTTCCCGAAGGAAGGCGAACTAGTTTCTCGCCAGTTCTGCCTATGTGCTCTGACTTTGCCCTGGCAATAACTCTTTAGAAGGACCTGGAGGCAAAGTTATACTTCTTTTTAAGTGTGCTGGTGTTTACATCCCGAGTCGCCGAAGCCGCAGCCCAGGCTTGATAACACTCCTGCTTACTAAGTAATGCAGTCTTACAGGAGCGACCAAACCAAGGCTGAGATCTGCCTCCAATGGTTACCAGAGATGATGGAATAAATAGTTCCATTCCCTGTAGCACCACATCAGTGACAGAGTCAGCTACAGCGCTGGGATGATCCGGCGAGAAGCAAACCCGCCCCCATGGGTAGGATGCAAAGAAAGACCGCATTCCGTCACAAACTGCCGACCTGTAATGCCAAACACGGCGGCAACCTGCAGAACGCAACCGCGAGCGGAGCGTGAGTGGCACCACACTCCTGATCAGACAATGGTCCGAAGAGCCGAGAGGGGCATCGACGGATACCTGATATCCATCCGGATGAGAAGTCAGCAGAAGGTCCAACAGGGAAGGTGTATGATCCACATCTGGAATCCGCGTAGGCGAAGTAACCAGTTGTGTCAGACCATATGCCAAGGCAAAGTCATAAACAGATCTCAAACGTGAGCCGAGCCATTCGGCGTGGTGGGCGTTAAAATAGCCAAGGATCACGATCTCTGCGGATGGGACCTGTTGTAACAAGAAATCTGTAGCCATTTGGACGTGGTCGATGAGTCGGTCTGTTTCGGCATTACCGCTATGGGACCCGTAGACGCGCGGATGGTCGTCGCTATCTACAGTCCCCTGATGTTGCAGAAATTGGTATTGTTGCTCAGTTTGCCCCGAGCAGTAATGTTTTTTGCGGAATTTTGCCCCCCCCCCCCCCCCCCCAGAATACGCGGGGCAGCCTGAGCACCCACGCTCAGGAGTGGAATAACATAGTTGTGGATGCTCAGCGAGGAATTCTCCAGGGGTGCTGGTATCCTCTAGGGGTAGTCTTTGGTGTAATTCCGCTACCAAGTTGATGGGGGGGGGATTGGGCCTCCGGCCACCTGCACTCACCAGAAGAAACGCAGAACCAGAGCTTCCACTTCACGCCGGTATTCTGTGAGGTCGTGATACCAACCTGGCTCGAGCAGGCCCATACGTGCAACAGCAAAAACTGCTGCGTGGCTCTACCACCGTTAATATTTCACAGAACGGCATATTTTCGCATATATTATTTAAGCAGCGACCCGTCAGCTCGCAACAATTTGAGCCTGCGACTGACAGTCAATTAAGCTCTACTGTCACTAATTGTGATAAACCTGCCCCGCCCACTTTGGGCTTCCTCTTGTTTTTTATATTCAATGAAAACATGGATTAAAGAACAAGCATCCATGCCAAAACTCTTATTAAAAAAACAACCAAAATGAAACGAAACGTACAGTCAAATTCTAATATTATCTGTGGTTTAAAAACTATAAAAACTTCGTTTTGAGTTTTGGAGTTTTCATATCTATACCCGCTGTAATTGCTGTTTAATTTTATACAATATTCCCATTTTGTAACAAGTAATATGTTCCATAAGTGATTCATTTATTGCAAGGAATTGCTCAATAAAATTTTGTTTAATCAAAGTAGTAAGTTTGTCGTTTTCTTTGTAACTTGTGTCTTGACAGCACAGGTGCTGGTCTTGCTTTTTAATAATTTTAAACAATTAATTTTGATGATATGATGACGTATATGTTTGTAATATTTGAACATTCATAATTTTGACCATAATGTTTTACTGTGTCGATTTCTATATTCATTTGATTTCCCCACATTGATTTTTTATTTCAGGTTATCGATATCGACCTGTCAAGGAGACATTTTTCATCAACTGTCTCTGCAAATTTGCAAAATAGGAGACGAAAATCCTTTTAAGTTCTCTAATTTCATATCAAATCTGCCACCAATTGTAAGTATGTTTACTTTATTGATCGAAAACTACGAATAGTAAATGCAACATTTTTTGTTTGTTGACTAAACATTTTTTTCTCAGTATCGTTTTTCTTGACCACCACATACGTCTTTTCTAGTTCTAGCGTGGGAGTAAATGTTTAGAACTTGAATATGGTTGTAACCTAACCTATATTTGTATTTGAATTGCTGCATGTCAATGCTCTCTATGTTTATTTGAGTCATAAATTTGTTATTCCTAGAATCTGTTTAACTTGTTTAACCTTTTTAATAAATATATATGTTTAAATATAAACTTATTTATTTTTTACTATGCTGGGATAGTTGTAAAGTCTTGATGGTTGTATTTTAAGTGTTAAATCTGAATGTAACATTTACAGTTTACGGATAAATATCATAAACATTTTACATCCCTATTTCCCTTTAACAGGATTCCAGCCAAGAGTCTGCACATAAAATGCAATATTAGATGTTAGTCCAGTTTAGTAGTGTACTACTACAAACAAAGTGCACACTAACAAAGTGCCAAAATATGTGCAATGCAAAAACAAAAAACTATTTTTTTTAATTAAAGACGGTACAAAAACAGTGAAATGTTCTTAAAATTATGCATAGTTTTGATGACAATATACAATTAAGTATTTTTCTATATTTTCGAGTGCAATTTTGTGACATTTGTCACCCAGTATCAATTTGTAAGCCGAAAACGACCTCTCTATATCAACTGACGTCATTGGACAAAATTTAAAATTTGGCCAGTTATTTCAGTCAGCCACTTACACGTCTTCGTCACCTAGGTCTCTATATGTGCCTCCTGCTACTAAACAAGATATGCAAGATTGGGAAAAAAGGCTAAAATATGCATTAATGTCGTAATTAGACAGTTTTGCATATGCAAATGCATGAAATCCAATGTCTAATTATAACTATTGCAATTTAAAATGTGACACTTAAACATGAAAACTGAAATTTCATTTCCAGCACAAAAAACAATAACCCCCATTTGTTACCAGGGTGGTAGGGCGATGCCTCGTTGTAGCAAACGCACGCGCAGCAGCGCACCCACTAGTGACGTACTGCCTGGAGCCACAACCATTGATGACCACCATCACCATAAACGATCCAGAAACAGCAGGTAACTGGTGTAAATTTTTTGATACACAGCACCAGCAAACTGCAGTATAGTTCCAATAATAATTAAGAGAAATGTAAATTAAAGAAGTTTACTACTACTTGGTATTTGGCCAAATACTGAATGCTATTTGGCCGAAGTTAGAAGTTTTGTTGTAGTCAGATAATTGATAAAAAAAAAATATTGATTTAATTTATCATAATATTTTTTTTTGTAATGATTAAAGTAGTCATAGGTACATCAATCAAACAACTTCCGTATTATAAAATTAACAAAAGTCTATGAAATAAATGTAAACGCACTTCAATTATCGTAGTGGAAAATTATGGTGCAGAAAGACTATTTCTGCATTTTCAGGCAGTAGTTTTCTTGTAAACAATCCCAGCTTTAGAGAAAATACACTCCATCAGTATACTCTAAGCCTTTGCTCCGACTTACTACACTACTTCCTTCCCAGCCAAATACTTTTGCTAAATATTCGACTATTAGGCCACAAAGACTGCAGAATATTCAGTATTCGGTGTGTGGCCGAATATAGTTTTCGTTGCAAGTTTCGTTATTTTCAATACTATACTATTACTGTTACCACTACAGCCTTTCAAAAGTCGACTGCTGAACATAGGCCTCCCCCATAGATTGACTCATATTATTTGCCTTAGTTACAACTCTTTGGTATGAGGGGTGGTAACCACAGTTTCTTAACTTTTAGTTGTTATTAGGAAGATGCTGCTGCCAATCTCCTGGTTTGTTTCTACATAGTCAATAGCATGTAAATTCTTATTCCTACTAAGTTTTCTATAATATCATAAAAATTTAAAATTAAATGAACAATGAATTGTTTATATACATTTAATATACTTTAAACCTATATAGATATACTGAACAACACTTAAATAAGTTAATTTTTTTATATTGAATCTATCACCGTGGTATATTGATGGAGTAAGAGAATTCACTACCCCATATCATTCCATACATGTTGTAAGACACGACAGAGGGAAACTAAAACAGGAAATCGGCTGCAATTTTTTTCTGATAATATCTCAAATGTTTCTCCCCTCATTTTATTCTATTGCTTTCTTGCAGTTCAAGACGACATTCCAAAACAGAGGATACTAGTTTCAGTGTAAAGAAATGTTTAGCATGGTTTAAGGAATACACAACAGTGTCAGAACCAGATGTATTAGGTACGTAATAAGTATTTTATAATTGTAACCTTATATGTTTTTGTAATATTGACTGCATTATTGGTATAGTGGTGGTAAACGCAATTGCTAATCATGAGGTGTTTAAATCTGGGTTGGGCCAAAAATTAGTTATTGGGTTTTCTGTAAAAAAATTGTTGGTAGAAGCCTGGAGTCAGGAAATAAATGTTATTTCATGCCCGTGCTTCAGAAAGCACATAAAGCCATCCCATCGGACTATGAGACTGAGAGATTAGAGTGAACCTGTGCATTGAGAATGGCCAATGTGACTGAAATTCCATCTGGAGTTGTGTCATTACTTATGTTATTACTGTTTGGCATTGTTACCATGCTTGGAAGATGTTCAGGAGAATGCTAATGCCCATCCCTCTCTAAAATGAGTGATAAAACATGCAGGAAGTTAATGAAGAACACAGGTGGCTCAATACCATGTTTTGTGGCATTTCTTGGGGTAAGCCTGTGAGCAGCAGTGGACTTGTGAGGGGTTGTAATGATGATGATAAACAAGAATTGGCTAAATTTTTATCAATATCTTGAAAATTTAAGTATGTTTATCTCATATGGGTTGCCATAGCATTACAATGATGATGGTTTTGTTAAAATATATTTTAAATACAGATTAATTTGTACTGTCATCCAGGTCCAGAAGGCATGGAAAAGTTTTGTGCGGATATAGGAGTTGACCCAGAAAATGTTGTAATGCTGGTCATTGCATACAAAATGGGTGCCAAACAAATGGGTTATTTCACACAAGAGGAATGGTTAAAAGGTAAATAATTTGATGATAATTATCACAAGAGTTGAGTTACTCTATCTTTGAATAATTTTGGTATTGCATATTTATTGTGCAACAAAGAATTTTCTATTTATCAGTTATAAATTTTTCAGGTTTAACAGAACTTCAGTGTGACAGTGTACAAAAGTTACAAAACAAATTAGAATACCTACGCAGTCTTCTGAATGACCCCTGTATATTTAAGGCTATTTATAGATATTCATACGATTTTGCAAGGGTAAGTGTTTATATGGTATTTATAGGATTAAATATTTCTGTTTGTTTCTACATGTGTTCCAGTTATTCTAAATCAAATTTTCTCAAGGCCTATACACAAATTGGCTTGTTAACTTCATTACTAATTGTGATCCATTTTTAAAATTATTTGTGTAGTAAAGGTAATACATACATTCAGTCTCCCCGTAATCATGGCTCCTCTTAAGTTATGTGTCCAGTTTATGCATTTTCTTATGGCTGAAACACAAATGGTTTGCATTGACCAGGGGAGGACAATCCTTGCATGGAATATTTATGTGAACCTAGCATAATACTACTATGTTTGTGACGAGAACTGGAGACCTTTTTTATAATTGGTAACAGGACATTCCAGTTTAGTCCTCAAAAGTGATTCTAATTAATGATAGATGTATGTGTCTATCATCACATTCACAAAATAACACACATAGCTCAATCTGTGAAGTATTCAATGTTAGACTCTTGATTGTGGCATTTTTTGTCACTTATAGTCTTGTTATTGTAAGGATATATAAAAGGATGAGAGGAATGTTATATACCTAGCTGACTGTTAAGACAATGCTCAACTATCTTCCCCTCTAGTATGCAGTAGAGCATGGTGTTGGTGAGGAATGTTGTGTATGAAATTGAGTCTAATGATGTTGATGGAAGGGATGACATGTGTGCAGTTGAGGGTAGTGATGTCCGTAGAAGTCGTGTCGGTAGGAGGATAGCTAGTGCATAGTTGAGGGTGTTGATGTTGGTGGGCAGATGCCACGTACGCACCTGAGGATGTTGGAGACCCCACATCGTCAGGTGTGTACGCGGGAGGATAGCACATGAACACACGCGCGCGCGCTATTGGGCGTGCTGCTGCCTTGATGTATGTAGTTGTGGGTGCTGGTGCTGAGTGTGAGACGGTACGTGTGGTGCGCAGGACAGCGGGCAGCGGTCGCTGGACGCCGCGGCGGCGCACGCGCTATTGGGCGTGCTGCTGCCTTGATGTATGTAGTTGTGGGTGCTGGTGCTGAGTGTGAGACGGTACGTGTGGTGCGCAGGACAGCGGGCAGCGGTCGCTGGACGCCGCGGCGGCGCACGCGCTATTGGGCGTGCTGCTGCCTTGATGTATGTAGTTGTGGGTGCTGGTGCTGAGTGTGAGACGGTACGTGTGGTGCGCAGGACAGCGGGCAGCGGTCGCTGGACGCCGCGGCGGTGCACGCGCTATTGGGCGTGCTGCTGCCTTGATGTATGTAGTTGTGGGTGCTGGTGCTGAGTGTGAGACGGTACGTGTGGTGCGCAGGACAGCGGGCAGCGGTCGCTGGACGCCGCGGCGGCGCGCGCGCTATTGGGCGTGCTGCTGCCTTGATGTATGTAGTTGTGGGTGCTGGTGCTGAGTGTGAGACGGTACGTGTGGTGCGCAGGACAGCGGGCAGCGGTCGCTGGACGCCGCGGCGGCGCACGCGCTATTGGGCGTGCTGCTGCCTTGATGTATGTAGTTGTGGGTGCTGGTGCTGAGTGTGAGACGGTACGTGTGGTGCGCAGGACAGCGGGCAGCGGTCGCTGGACGCCGCGGCGGTGCACGCGCTATTGGGCGTGCTGCTGCCTTGATGTATGTAGTTGTGGGTGCTGGTGCTGAGTGTGAGACGGTACGTGTGGTGCGCAGGACAGCGGGCAGCGGTCGCTGGACGCCGCGGCGGCGCACGCGCTATTGGGCGTGCTGCTGCCTTGATGTATGTAGTTGTGGGTGCTGGTGCTGAGTGTGAGACGGTACGTGTGGTGCGCAGGACAGCGGGCAGCGGTCGCTGGACGCCGCGGCGGTGCACGCGCTATTGGGCGTGCTGCTGCCTTGATGTATGTAGTTGTGGGTGCTGGTGCTGAGTGTGAGACGGTACGTGTGGTGCGCAGGACAGCGGGCAGCGGTCGCTGGACGCCGCGGCGGCGCACGCGCTATTGGGCGTGCTGCTGCCTTGATGTATGTAGTTGTGGGTGCTGGTGCTGAGTGTGAGACGGTACGTGTGGTGCGCAGGTCAGCGGGCAGTGGTCGCTGGACGCCGTGGCGGCGCGCGCGCTATTGGGCGTGCTGCTGCCTTGATGTATGTAGTTGTGGGTGCTGGTGCTGAGTGTGAGACGGTACGTGTGGTGCGCAGGACAGCGGGCAGCGGTCGCTGGACGCCGCGGCGGTGCACGCGCTATTGGGCGTGCTGCTGCCTTGATGTATGTAGTTGTGGGTGCTGGTGCTGAGTGTGAGACGGTACGTGTGGTGCGCAGGACAGCGGGCAGCGGTCGCTGGACGCCGCGGCGATGCACGCGCTATTGGGCGTGCTGCTGCCTTGATGTATGTAGTTGTGGGTGCTGGTGCTGAGTGTGAGACGGTACGTGTGGTGCGCAGGACAGCGGGCAGCGGTCGCTGGACGCCGCGGCGGCGCACGCGCTATTGGGCGTGCTGCTGCCTTGATGTATGTAGTTGTGGGTGCTGGTGCTGAGTGTGAGACGGTACGTGTGGTGCGCAGGACAGCGGGCAGCGGTCGCTGGACGCCGCGGCGGCGCACGCGCTATTGGGCGTGCTGCTGCCTTGATGTATGTAGTTGTGGGTGCTGGTGCTGAGTGTGAGACGGTACGTGTGGTGCGCAGGACAGCGGGCAGCGGTCGCTGGACGCCGCGGCGGCGCACGCGCTATTGGGCGTGCTGCTGCCTTGATGTATGTAGTTGTGGGTGCTGGTGCTGAGTGTGAGACGGTACGTGTGGTGCGCAGGACAGCGGGCAGCGGTCGCTGGACGCCGCGGCGGCGCACGCGCTATTGGGCGTGCTGCTGCCTTGATGTATGTAGTTGTGGGTGCTGGTGCTGAGTGTGAGACGGTACGTGTGGTGCGCAGGACAGCGGGCAGCGGTCGCTGGACGCCGCGGCGGCGCACGCGCTATTGGGCGTGCTGCTGCCTTGATGTATGTAGTTGTGGGTGCTGGTGCTGAGTGTGAGACGGTACGTGTGGTGCGCAGGACAGCGGGCAGCGGTCGCTGGACGCCGCGGCGGCGCACGCGCTATTGGGCGTGCTGCTGCCTTGATGTATGTAGTTGTGGGTGCTGGTGCTGAGTGTGAGACGGTACGTGTGGTGCGCAGGACAGCGGGCAGCGGTCGCTGGACGCCGCGGCGGCGCACGCGCTATTGGGCGTGCTGCTGCCTTGATGTATGTAGTTGTGGGTGCTGGTGCTGAGTGTGAGACGGTACGTGTGGTGCGCAGGACAGCGGGCAGCGGTCGCTGGACGCCGCGGCGGCCCGCGCGCTATTGGGCGTGCTGCTGCCTTGATGTATGTAGTTGTGGGTGCTGGTGCTGAGTGTGAGACGGTACGTGTGGTGCGCAGGACAGCGGGCAGCGGTCGCTGGACGCCGCGGCGGCGCACGCGCTATTGGGCGTGCTGCTGCCTTGATGTATGTAGTTGTGGGTGCTGGTGCTGAGTGTGAGACGGTACGTGTGGTGCGCAGGACAGCGGGCAGCGGTCGCTGGACGCCGCGGCGGCGCACGCGCTATTGGGCGTGCTGCTGCCTTGATGTATGTAGTTGTGGGTGCTGGTGCTGAGTGTGAGACGGTACGTGTGGTGCGCAGGACAGCGGGCAGCGGTCGCTGGACGCCGCGGCGGCGCACGCGCTATTGGGCGTGCTGCTGCCTTGATGTATGTAGTTGTGGGTGCTGGTGCTGAGTGTGAGACGGTACGTGTGGTGCGCAGGACAGCGGGCAGCGGTCGCTGGACGCCGCGGCGGCGCACGCGCTATTGGGCGTGCTGCTGCCTTGATGTATGTAGTTGTGGGTGCTGGTGCTGAGTGTGAGACGGTACGTGTGGTGCGCAGGACAGCGGGCAGCGGTCGCTGGACGCCGCGGCGGCCCGCGCGCTATTGGGCGTGCTGCTGCCTTGATGTATGTAGTTGTGGGTGCTGGTGCTGAGTGTGAGACGGTACGTGTGGTGCGCAGGACAGCGGGCAGCGGTCGCTGGACGCCGCGGCGGCGCACGCGCTATTGGGCGTGCTGCTGCCTTGATGTATGTAGTTGTGGGTGCTGGTGCTGAGTGTGAGACGGTACGTGTGGTGCGCAGGACAGCGGGCAGCGGTCGCTGGACGCCGCGGCGGCCCGCGCGCTATTGGGCGTGCTGCTGCCTTGATGTATGTAGTTGTGGGTGCTGGTGCTGAGTGTGAGACGGTACGTGTGGTGCGCAGGACAGCGGGCAGCGGTCGCTGGACGCCGCGGCGGCCCGCGCGCTATTGGGCGTGCTGCTGCCTTGATGTATGTAGTTGTGGGTGCTGGTGCTGAGTGTGAGACGGTACGTGTGGTGCGCAGGACAGCGGGCAGCGGTCGCTGGACGCCGCGGCGGCGCACGCGCTATTGGGCGTGCTGCTGCCTTGATGTATGTAGTTGTGGGTGCTGGTGCTGAGTGTGAGACGGTACGTGTGGTGCGCAGGACAGCGGGCAGCGGTCGCTGGACGCCGCGGCGGCGCACGCGCTATTGGGCGTGCTGCTGCCTTGATGTATGTAGTTGTGGGTGCTGGTGCTGAGTGTGAGACGGTACGTGTGGTGCGCAGGACAGCGGGCAGCGGTCGCTGGACGCCGCGGCGGCGCACGCGCTATTGGGCGTGCTGCTGCCTTGATGTATGTAGTTGTGGGTGCTGGTGCTGAGTGTGAGACGGTACGTGTGGTGCGCAGGACAGCGGGCAGCGGTCGCTGGACGCCGCGGCGGCCCGCGCGCTATTGGGCGTGCTGCTGCCTTGATGTATGTAGTTGTGGGTGCTGGTGCTGAGTGTGAGACGGTACGTGTGGTGCGCAGGACAGCGGGCAGCGGTCGCTGGACGCCGCGGCGGCGCACGCGCTATTGGGCGTGCTGCTGCCTTGATGTATGTAGTTGTGGGTGCTGGTGCTGAGTGTGAGACGGTACGTGTGGTGCGCAGGACAGCGGGCAGCGGTCGCTGGACGCCGCGGCGGCCCGCGCGCTATTGGGCGTGCTGCTGCCTTGATGTATGTAGTTGTGGGTGCTGGTGCTGAGTGTGAGACGGTACGTGTGGTGCGCAGGACAGCGGGCAGCGGTCGCTGGACGCCGCGGCGGCGCACGCGCTATTGGGCGTGCTGCTGCCTTGATGTATGTAGTTGTGGGTGCTGGTGCTGAGTGTGAGACGGTACGTGTGGTGCGCAGGACAGCGGGCAGCGGTCGCTGGACGCCGCGGCGGCCCGCGCGCTATTGGGCGTGCTGCTGCCTTGATGTATGTAGTTGTGGGTGCTGGTGCTGAGTGTGAGACGGTACGTGTGGTGCGCAGGACAGCGGGCAGCGGTCGCTGGACGCCGCGGCGGCCCGCGCGCTATTGGGCGTGCTGCTGCCTTGATGTATGTAGTTGTGGGTGCTGGTGCTGAGTGTGAGACGGTACGTGTGGTGCGCAGGACAGCGGGCAGCGGTCGCTGGACGCCGCGGCGGCCCGCGCGCTATTGGGCGTGCTGCTGCCTTGATGTATGTAGTTGTGGGTGCTGGTGCTGAGTGTGAGACGGTACGTGTGGTGCGCAGGACAGCGGGCAGCGGTCGCTGGACGCCGCGGCGGCCCGCGCGCTATTGGGCGTGCTTCTGCCGCGCTGGCCGCTGCGCGCGCCGCTGGCCACGTTCCTGCAACGCGAGCGGCGCTACCGTGTCGTCAACCGCGACCAGTGGTGCAACATCCTCGAGTTCAGCCGCACCGTCGACCACCACCTCGCCGCGTACGACGCGGACGGCGCATGTCAGTATACTATATACTCTTATCTACTACTTAATACATTGACACCCTGATAAAAGATAGTAGAAGTAGCTCAGGACCGCGACCAGGGACTTTGATTTTCTACCTGGCCCACCACTGTACTTATTTTTTTTAACCTTTATAAAACACTTACACTAAAATTTTCTTTTATATTGTGGACAGTTACATAAATTACATAAATTTCACAAAGACAAAAATCTAGACCCAGAAAAATTATTTGTATTTCATACAAACACTTATTCCGTGCAAGATTCAAACCCGCGGCCCTTAGCGCATTTAACCCCACCAATTTTTTTTTTATAGGATAAGGTGACAAACGAGCACACAGTCCACCTGATGGTAAGTGGTTGCTGTGGCCCATAGATATATCGTCGTTTGCGAATCAAAATGCAGATGCGTTGTCACCCGTGAGGACTAAAATGGAATGCCTCTTTTCCAGTAAAATTTCATACCTATTTCTGTACTGCCAACAATTTGTAAAATTATTTAAAAAATTATTCTTGATCAAATGTTAAATATTTTAGTGTAAATATAGGACTCCAACATCTCATCAATAGTACCATTTTCTCCAATCTCATAATAAGCTAGACAGTTACTTACAAAAGATTCAAAAATATCTCTCATTGCCGCCATGTTATCTAGCTTGACCCGCTCCGTTCTAGTATGAATGTCGTCAAAACGAATGTTCCTCATCAAAAAGTAAAATGTCTTGATTGACATGGTTGCTTTGAATATATCAGGGGAAGTACCATCGTCATTCCACATTTCCTGAATATTCACATGATGCATTTTTTTCAAGCCTGCTATCAAAAGAGGACCTATCAAAGCTTCTATTTCTAGTATATCAGTTTCTTTAGTATCTCTTTCTCGTAAAAACTTGTGCTGGTTAGCATGTATGCGGATGTTAGTAAAAGAAACTATACCTTCTAGCATTTCTTGAGTAATGAAAAGGCGGAAGCAATATAATGGTGTCTTTGAATTTTTAGCATTTTCTCCACGCACTCCAGGAGGATTCGTAACTATATTTTCAGCTCTTGTTCGTATGTTAGGTCTTGAAGAAGGACTTTTTAACCATTTTGTTCCATCTTTACCTTTGTACACAGGCACTCTTGGAGGACGATTTGTAGTAGGTTCAATGAAATTTGTCTCAGTTAGAAATGTTCGAATTTGTCTTACTCGTATGTGAGCCAAAGGTACATCGCTCGATGAATTTGAAGATGTTGATGAAGATCTAAACGACAAACGTTCACGATGTCGACGTGCACTGCGAGATGGTCTCCGGGAGGTGACAGGAGAACGGCTGCGACTCCTAGGAATCGTTGTAAATTGATTGAAACTAGTCGATGGCCGATGATCACACGCCTAAATTGAGTCGATGGAAACATGTCTCCGATGACATCATTTCATCTCCTGACTGTTCGGTATCACTATTATGTCGATCGCTTTCAGACATACTTTCGTCGAAACATTGTGCACCGGTCTCTTCTAAATCAGACTCCTCTAACCACGAACAAATTTGCGCGTCTTGCTTATTCATTTTGCTGAAATGAAAAGCTGAAAAGATACAAAACAATACCTCAGAAGTAAAAAATAACTCTTAATTTCATAAAATTATGCTACACGAGAATAAATAAACAAAACAATGTAGTACTTACCAAAAAATAAATATCATTTGGCAAAAAATAAATATGTTATAACGTGAAATTTTAACTACTTCAGTGGGCGCGCACTTAGCAATTTGCCGCGTCGCAGGACCCGTGCACAACAACTTCGTCCACCTGTGGTCGGCTGCGCACTGATTGAACCGTAACTACGAGGGGGGAGGGTCATTGCGGGAGGAGTGTACACGCAGCTACTGAGACGCTTGACCTTCAATAACTAACGGTTTAAATATTATTAACATTTTTTTACAAAGTGCGGCAAAATGCTCATAGCGCGCCCACTCTAGGGTTAAGTAACAGAACGTAAAAAGTTGTTAGTATCTGTATGACTTCTTCCGAGTCGATACTAAAATGGGGGTGATAAATCATCATCAAAATGCAAATCTAATTTTAAACGGGGAGGAGTTGAGTCTTGTGTGATACCACAATTTTTTTAGAATTACATTAGACGCGAAATTTCAATGGAGCCCTCATATATCAAAACTAGCAAGCAGACTTAATTCTGCAGTCTATGCTGTAAATAAAATTAGAAATCTTATCAGTGTTGAAACAGCTAGACTGACATTTTGCTATATACATTTACGAAAATGTAATGTGACACAGAAGTATAAGTAGTTTTAATAAGTACGATATACTCCTTATGGCAGAACCGCTGGAGAACCTATGCACTATGCTTAATGACCTCAATAGTGTCTACCAAGGGATAGGTCTTTAGATGAACTAGTCTGTAGTTGTTGGGAGCGCTAAGCTCGAAGTTGTTGACGAGTATGTTTACCCGGGACAAATAGTCCGACTCGGTAAGTCCAACTTCGACCGAGAGGTCAATCGACGGATTCAACTCGGCTGGTCAACTTTCGGGAAATTACGACACATCTTCTCGTCAGATATACCTCAAAACCTGAAAACAAAATTGTACAACCAGTGCGTGTTGCCAGTGATGACTTATGGATCTGAGACGTGGTCCTTCACTGCTGGCCGTATGAGGACCCTCAAAGTCGTTCAGCGAAATATGGCTCTTCATATCGGGGTTTCTCTGCGTGATAAACATAGAAATGAGGATATCCGCAGTAGAACCAGAGTGACTGACATAGCCCAACACCGCATTGGTAAACTGAAGTGGCAATAGGCCGGCCATATAGCTCGAAGAACCGACAACCGATGGCGGAAAAAGGTTCTCGAGTGGCAGCCTCGTACCGGTAGGCGAAGTGTAGGGCGACCTCCCACTAGATGGAGTGACGACCTGGTAAGACATGCAGGAAGTCGATGGATTCAGGTGACTCAGGACCATGCTTTGTGGCATTCCTTGGGGGGAGCCTATGTTCAGCAGTGGACTTGTGAAGGGCTGCAATGATAACGGTGATGATGAATGAAATAAGTGATATTCACTCTGTAAATATTAGAAACCAACACAAGCTAGTACAGTACCAGTTACTCGACTCCACAAAGTTAGTAATTCATTATTGCATGATGTACACATTGGGTAATGTACGCTTTTACAACAAAATCCCAGAAAATATACAAATCTTTCTTCTGCGAACTTTGTTTAACAAAAACTTTATTAAACAAAGATTGTATAAAATGGGTATAGAATATTAAGGATATTATCCCGTGTAGTGGCGGGTAAGAATATAATATAAATAAAAGTGGCGGGTAAATATTCCCGTGGGTGTCGTAAGAGGCGAAAGAGGGAAACTGAGGCAGAAGATGGGCAGTAGCATCTCTCTGATAACAGCAAAGCAACAATAAAAAAACTGCGGTTGCCAACCCGCTTGCCCAGCGTGGCAACTATGACAAATACCCCTCTATGATGAGAGTAACAAAGAAACGGCCCCCAGTTCCCGGCGGCTCCGCTATTCCTGGCTTCGGTGGCGGCCATGGTAACGGTGGGGCAGGGGGTGCTAAGAATCTCCGGTGGAGGTTCGGTTGCCACCTAAGACGGTTCGACCTGGCAACATATGACGCACGCTACCTGACGACTGATGAGAAAATCCTGGAGCTGGAAGAAGAGATAGACAAGTTGCGCTGGAATATTATAGGATTATCTGAGGTCTGAAGAGAGGGGGAGGACATGGTAATCCTCGAATCCGGCAACTTGTTCTATCACCGGGAGGGCGACCATCTGTCCCAAGGAGGTGTCGGATTTATCGTACACAAGTCTCTCATTAACAACGTTGTAAAGATTGAGAGTGTGTCGACGAGGGTTGCGTACCTTATACTCAGAATCACCAAACGGTATTCGCTGAAGGTCATACATGTTTACGCAACAACCTCGGCACATTCCGATGAGGAGGTAGAGGAAATGTATGAGGATATGTCTAGAGCCATGTATTGCTTCAAAACCCACTATACGGTGTTAATGGAAGACTTCAACGCAAAACTAGGCACAAGAGAGAACGGTAAGCTGAAGGTAGGGAAATTTGGAATAGGGCAACGGAACCCAAGTGCCAGCAAGCTGGCCGACTTCATGGAGAAAGAGGGACTCTTTATGATGAACTCTTTCTTCCAAAAGCGGCCCCACAGGAAGTGGACCTGGTCGAGCCCCGATGGTTCGTTCTTTGTGGCATTCCTTGGGGGAGGCGTATGTTCATCAGTGGATTTGTGCTGTAATGATGATGATGAATGAATTTATGGATGATAATAGCCTCTGCTCGCTACCATGCTATTTCTAATGTGTTATGTGTTTCTTTTTCCGGTTCCGGCGACCAAAGTGTATACACGTATAAGAGTGAGCTCTGCAGATATTTTCAAATTACCAGTGCAAAAAGAAGCAAAGCGAACATAAAATACATTCGGGTTTTCGGGAAATTGAACACAAGTGGTGCCCAAGCAAGAATTTAAAGTGGAACAACAATTTTAAGTGTGATTTTCCCCAAGCGGTCTAGCGATCATTATAACCTCAAAATGAAATACACACCAAGACTAATGGTACCAACCAAACAAATCAAACTGACAGTGACATTTGACATTGATAGCCATAGACAACTGTTGATAGTGTGGCCACAAAAACAAAAGAATCATCTTACCATTATACTAAAGTGTTAACACTATACAACATTAAATTACCCAACATCAAAATGGATAAACAAATGGAAATCTTTCTCTGTAAAATAAATAAAAAGTTTAATGAACAAACAATTAAATTAACATTAACAAGAAAACTAAAGAAAAATGTCATGGAAGCCTTAGAAGAAAAAATGAAAATGCTCAGAGAAGAAAATAACAACCTTAAAACTAGTCACAAAAAACAATGGCCAAATTTCTATGGGGGCTGGACTTGACTTTTATTTTTCATGTCCCAAAACAAACTATAGCTAGATTGGTTTGTTTTTATCTTGTAAACACCATCCCGTTTGAAAATCATATCTATATAGCCACAATTTTTTAATTTAACGTCAACAACACTTTTGAGGTTAGCATCACATATGTCATCTTTAGTGATCTAAAATAAGAATTAGATTTGTATTATGATGAACGTGATTGTGTGTGATGGTTTATGTTAGTGTAATAAAATAAGTAGGTATGTAGATATACACTATTATTGAAGAATTCCACTCGCGGATCTTAGAAATTACTCTGGTATCAAGCTCAAAAACGAAATGGCGGCAAAATGTATCAATGCATATTATGTCACAATTAACACATAGCAATCGCAGGGCTAGTTGTCGTTGTTGTGTAGCTATAGTCTGCATGATGTCTCTCACAAATATGCAAGATACAAAATCGGTGCCCAAAAATCAAAACACAGAATAATCGTTACAAAAGACAATGCCGAGGTCAAAACAACAGAAGGAAATCTAAAATAGTACAGTACGTATCACAATCCACAACAACGAGTGAAGCAAACACAGACTAACTAGTAGATTCTACCCGAATGAAGCAAATAAGATATATAGATATGTAGATGATTGCCGGATGATGATATTATATAGATGGTGACAAAAGTACAAAAAGCATATTTTTATGTCATATCGATAAATCCCTGTTATATTTATTCGAAAGCAAAAAAAAATTAATTACAATATTTTTATCGAAAGAAAAAAACGGGAAAAGATGAAAAGGTGGTATGAATGTAGAAATTTGCTTGTAAACACAGGATTCTAAAATTTTGGAAAGAAAGGGTAGAATGGATATAGGGCGAAAATGATTGGGAAGAATGGGAGAAGGAACTTTTGGAAGGGGCTTTATAAAAGCCCTTTTCCAAAGATTAGGGTACTGACCTGAATCAAGGGAAAAATTTATAACATGGGAAATTGCCGGAAGAAGGTGCTCTAGTATAAATACTACCATTTGTCTACTAATCTCATCATAACCCACCGCCTTGGACTGAATTGCTAAAATAGACTTTTTGACATCATCCTGCGAAACAGGAGAGAAATTAAAGGTATATTAGGAATTTGCACAGAAGCAATGGAAGCCACAGTTTGAGAGCGCATTGTAGGGTCCATTGCTGTTACAGAAGCGAAATGTTGGTTGATTTCATCAAGTGATAGAGAAGGACCACAATCCAATGTAGTTGGCCTGCAAAGACCAGAAGATCTAAGAAATTTCCACACTTCGGCGGGAGAAGAGTTGTTAATACAATTATGGAAATATCGGCGTTTAGCTGCCCGTACCATTTGATTGCACCTATTCCTGGCCGCTTTAAAAGATGACCAATTTTCTTCATTACGTTCTCTCTTAAAACTAAGAAAAGCTCGATTACGTCTAGTCATTGCCAACCTTACGCCCTCTGTCATCCATGGGGCTGTAGGACGCTTCAATCTAACCTTGTGAACTGGGGCACGAGCATCATAAAAGCTGAGAATATTTTGGTTAAGGATAGAGACTTTATCGTCAACAGTAGGTGCTGCAATAAATGAGGTTAGATCGAGACTAAGAGCGTCATCCCTTAGCTTGTCAAAATCTATTTTAGAAAAACTGCGCAGATGCAGTACAGAAGGGGAATATTTGGGAGGTTTAAGCTTATACGAAAAATAAATCAAGTCATGACGTGAGATGCCCAAAGCAGGTAACTGTCCGTGTATCATCACACGATCAGGAGAAGCAGCAAAGATGAGATCAATCAATGAGTCATCGGTTCCAATATTGTGATGAGTAGGCTTTAAAGGGAGAATAGAATGATTAACCGACTCAACAATTGAAAGAAGTTTTTGTAACAAGGAGAGTTTTTCAACAAATCTGTATTGAAGTCACCCAAAAATATAAAAAAATAGAAAACAAACTCAAAGAACAGGCAAAAATACAAATAAACAAGAGTCAAACAAATACGACCTGACCAAAATGTGAAACGACCACCAATGATTGATACGTCAAAAAATAGTGACTTAGGTGTATATTAAATTACGGGGTCCAAATTATTTTATTAGAACCGGTAAAATTATTTAGCTTTGTAATGAAAAACCTCATTTCCTTCCTAATTTTTATGGATTTTGAACGCATCCAAACCCATCCCGTTTTTATCTGTGGTACACGTTTCATCATAACACTAAAGTAACACTACCATTATGCGTTTACTTTTTTAAATACTAGATTTTTTTGCAGATTTTTTATTTATTTTTGTAGTGTATTATCAATAATATCATTTTTAGACGGGGATATGGAAAGTATTCCAAAATAAGATGCAAATGATAGGTTGACAGTAAATATAGAATGCACTAATACCTAGATCAGAACGTATTATGAGTGTCTCTATGCAGTATATGGTATTATGACACGAGAGCTGTTAAAGCGTGAGCAAAAGTCAAAGCACCTGTCTTAGAATGGTCTTAGATACTTAGATTTGAAAGGTTATTGATTCATTTTTGTGGTTTAATCATTGACTTGACTTATTTAGTTAAGTATATATTACTGCATAGTTTTCATATCAATTGCTTCAGCTGAGGTTGTAATCAATGCTGCAGTCATGGCTACATCATAACCTCAAAAATGACGAAATACATAAGTGTAACGTTCTATGATCCTCGGCTTTTAAATAATATATTTTCAATTTAGGATTTAGATTGTACTCAGGGGGAACGGATTAATCCATACACTAGTCATATTCGCATAACAACTAACAAAGGTCTTCAATGAGACTAAATAAAAGCAGCATTCCGAACCAATGGGCAGAATCACATATAATACTCCTACACAAAAAGGGTCCAAAAGTCTTTGCTAAAGTGATTCTAGACAGAATATCACTCACACTCGACGAAAATCAACCTGTGGAACAGGCGGCGTTCAGGAAAGACTTTAGTACAATTGATCATATACATACAGTCAAACATCTCATACAGAAATACAATGAATATAACAAAACCATTTACCTGGCCTTCATAGATTATGCCAAAGCTTTCGATAGCCTTAAACACGAATCGGTATGGCAGAGTCTAAAAGAGCAGGGGATACAAAATGCCTACGTTAATATTATCAAAAATATTTATGGTGAAAGTAAAGCCAGAATCAGGCTAGAATCTACAGGAGATGTCTTCCCAATCAATAAGGACGTCAAGCAAGGTGACCCACTCTCACCAAAGCTGTTTACAGCAGTGCCTGAGCAAATGTTTAGGAAATTGGAATGACCACATCTGGGACTAAACATAAACGGAAAACGATTGAGTCATCTGAGATTTGCATACGACCTGGTTATAATGGAAGAGGACCCACTTACACTGGAATTCATGATACAAGCCCTAGTAGACAGAAGTAGAGAAGTAGTTCTAGAAATTAACATAAGCAAGACAAAAATGAAGACCAACTCAATACCCATAGACATAACTATCAACGGACAGAAACTTGAATATGTAGAGGAATATGTGTATCTAGGCCAGATATCAATCAATCAATCTTTATTTGCCAACCAAGTGTACATAAATGGTCTTATAATAATAAACATTTATCTCAACTTAGTAGCCTTTTTCAGGCATTGCAAATTTGAGCAAGGGAGATAAAATAAGTTATTAAATACAAACAGTAATAACCTAACAGTTTAATAGTATTAAATCGTGCAAAAATATTAAGGCATTTTATATCAACACAATATTTACTTATACTGACAACATGAACTGGTTGTACAATCTAGTTTTGAGGTATGTCTGACGATAAAATGTGTCGTAATCTTCCGAAAGCTGCCCAGCCGAGTTGAATCCGTCGATTGACCTCTCGGTCGAAGTTGGACTTACCTAGTCGGACTATTGATTCCAGGTAAACATATTCGTCAACAACTTCGAATTTAGTGCTCCCAACAACTGACGGCAAAGGTGTGACATGGACGTTAAACATGATTTTTTCGTCCATATTCATCTTAAGACCTATCATATATAGTGCTTATAGGTCCTCCAGCGATTCTGCCATAAGGACTATATCGTTGGCAAATCGAAGTTGAGTGATGTACTCGCCATTGACGTTAATACCGTATCCTTTCCAGTCCAGTAGTTTGAAAACGTCTGCCAATGCAGCGGTGAAGAGTTTCGGCGATATTACGTCACCCTGTCTTACACCTCTCTTCAGTTAGATAGGTTTCGAACAAAGAACTGTAATGATGATGATTTACTAGCTGGCCCGCTCGACTTTCACTTAACATGGTTATCATCTATTCATCAATATTTTTCTATAATGTTCTTTGACAGACCTGAGCGCAGAACCAATAAGGCCATCCTTTTCATCACCGATCTGATCATTTCACATATAGCATATGCCATGTTTCAGTTCAGATTTTCACTTAATCAACTCTTACAACGATAAAATCTTTGAAATGGATAGTAGATTTTTTAATGGAATAAGGATGACAAATGAGCTCGTAGTCCACGATGTTATGGATGGTAACATAGAGGGGCTCATAGACATCTATTCTCGTTCAAGAATCAGATACATTGTCGCCACTGAGGACTACGATGAATTGCCTCGTTTCCAATACAAAGGGTCTGGGTGACAACGCATCTGCATTTTGATTTTTAAGTGAGGATAAATGTAGATGTATATGGGACACAGCATCCATTTACCATCAGGTGGACCGTGTGCTCGTTTGGCACCCGTATTCTATAAAAAAACGATCCTTTAAAAATTATCGCCAGTACCCATGAAATCGGGCTCATCTCTTCTCCAGAAACCCTCAGAAATTAGTGAAAGCTCGTACACCTAGTAGCGGGACGTATAAAGGAATTTCAATGTATTTTTTGTTATTTAATTTAATTTCAAAAATATGTAAATTCATTTCAGGGCCAGTAATGCTTGACGAATTTGTAGAGTGGCTAAGAGCGGAACGAGCCAACGAGGCAGCCATGCCACCCGCCAGCTGAGACGCACATACGCACCACATTGTCAG